TAATTAAAAATCTATTGTAGTACTCACTCTGCTAATGACTAAAACCCATCAATGCAACTACGAAAACATTGAAATTAATGACTTCATCACTTGTTGGCGGTTAGTTAATATTAAACTATGTAACTATGAACGATACATATTGCTAATTACTCTATATGATAAAATGAATAAATGAATAAAATAATTTATAAAATTGGTGTTCAAAAAAGGGTTTTAAGCTGAATATTTGAGTACGCTTAAAGGATCTTACGATGTTAATTTTCCTCAAAATTACAATTAGTTATCTACAAAAATTGAACCAATTCTTCTTAATATTCCTTCTATTCCGAGTAGAATTGGTTCATAGACTTGATACATTGCTTGAATGTGTAGATAGCTTACTAGAGACCACTAATTCTGCCGTTGTCTGCTTGATCATAGTGTTACCTTAGATCCTCCCAAAGAAACTTTGCATTGTCTTGAGAAGAAACATTATTCACCAAGCTAGGGTCCAGACTCCAGAGACCCATTATCATTAAGTAATCTACAACGTTGCTCTACTCGCAAGATTGATAGCTTTCATGTTCTTGATCTGGAACTGGAATAGACCGATTAATGAATCCAAACTTGTTTTAGCTTTTCAACGCATCACGCACTGTGCGACTCCAGAGATTATAGTTTGCAGTGCCTATGAGCTTGATTGGAAAGCTTAGATTAGGATTTATGTAGTAAGAATTTGTGAGTGCATTTGAAGTACTTGAAATCATAGTTGAGCTAGAAGACATGCTACTAGCAACATCGGTCGACCTGATTGACAAAAGAAATGTGAATCAGAAATGAGAAGAAAATGATAAAAGGAAGAATACGGGTGTGATGGGTAAGAAAGCCCTAGAGTCCCGAACCAGACTCTGATACTATAAGAATTTTTTATGAGGGGAATTTCTGAAGGATCCTGCAAGTGTCCTTGGTACCCTGTCTACTTCGCGATGGAGGATACAAGCAAAGTTACCTCTACATAATTACGATGATAACTAACTGGAAGAAAACTAACAACCATAAGGAGAGGACAAGTGTCTATGTACATTAAAATCAGAAACTAATCTCTACAGTAACTACGATGACAAGATTTTTATTTTTATTTTTATGAATAAGCAGCTTTTATTCATCAAGGAAGAGGGATTTTATGACAAAATCTCCCTAACTGGTACCCAAGTAAACCGAGTACAGAGGAGAACAAACAACAACAGAATAGACCAAAAAGAAGAATAAAAACCAGTCTATCTAACTACACTCTCAAACTACACTATACTATTCACATACTCCTCTGAAATAGCAAGCTCAACTTGAGGAAAACCACACCTAAGCAGGCGCATCAACCCTTGTAGTTTCAGAAGAAGCTGGTTTTCCGACAGCACCTCCCCAGCCATGACTCTTCTGCATCTTTCTCTCCAAAGCTCAGCCACCACCATCACCCAAAGAAACCTACCTCGATCAGATGAGGAGCACTTTGATCGAAAGAGAGATATGGCGATTTCCAAAGATCCCTCCCAGTTAGCCCCCGCCATATTTCTTCCTGCAAACACAGCCTGCAATACACACTGAGAGTAAGGACACTCAAAGAAGAGATGATCCCTTGACTCTGCCATAGAGGTGCATAAAGGGCAGATGTTAATCACTGAGCTATTCCATCTCTAAATTTTGTCAAGAGTGGATATTCTGTTCAAAATGACTAACCAGACAATCATTTTATCACTTTAGGGTCCCAAATGACTTCCAAAGCAAAGTATACCACTGAACTACCTCGTGCTTAACCCAAAGTGTCTCCCAAACTTTTTTCACTGAAAACTTGTCCATTACACAATCATCCCAGTACACTCTAGCAGATCTGACTGTAAGATGCCAAGCCACTTTAACCCTGATCTTCAAAACCTTCCTCCAGGCCCATGAGCAGGGATTAGAATCAGGTATCTCCCAAATGGAGGTGTAAGAAGTTTGGTAGTGTCTGACCCAGTTGGCCCACAGAGAAGAAGAGTTCGAGGATATGGCCCAGAGATGCCAAACCAGGCACGCCATATCCCAGCTCCTAAGGTCTTTAAACCCTAAACCCCCCTCCTTTTTAGGTCTAGCTACCATCTGCCAGAGAACCTTAGCTTTTGTCCCTCTTCCTCTGAATTCCATAAGAAGTCAAAGCAAGCTTTCTAAATCAGCTTAAGCACTTTGACTGGGAGCTGAATGATCCCCATCCAATACTGAGTGATGCTGGAAATGACAGCAGATATGAGTTGCAATTTACCAGCATAAGACAAAGTTTTCACCTTCCAGCCTCTGATTCTAGCAGTTATCTTCTCTACCAAAGCCAGAAAATCAGAATTATTCAGTTTCCCTGCAATGAGAGGTATCCCCAGGTATCTCAAAGGAAGATGCCCTATGGCAAACCCAGTCCTGGATGAAATTTGAGCCTGAACACTAGGATCCACTCCTCCACAGAATACCTCGCTCTTAGCAGGATTACATCTCAGCCCAGACACAGTATAGAAGGCATCCAAAATAGTTTTTGCTTTTCCTACAGCCTCTGGTGTCCCCTTTGTGAAAACCAATAGGTCATCAGCAAAGCACAAGTGGGAGAGACCTATTCTGTGAGTTTGAGGGTGGGGAGGGAGAGACTTGACAGCATAAGCCCTATTGAACATACAAGAGAGAGCCTCCATGGCAATTGTAAAAAGGTAAGGGGACAGGGGGTCCCCTTGCCTCAAACCCTTCTGAGCAGAAAAATTTCCACAGAGTCCTCCATTAAAGCAAACACTTAGTTTTGTACTTTCCAGACAAACATCAATCCATTTAATGAACTGATCAGGGATTTTCATAGCCTTCATTACTGTTTTTAAGTAACACCAGTCTACACTGTCAAATGCCTTCATCACATCAACTTTTAGGGCACATCTAGGGGAGATAGTCTTCCTATTGTATAACCTCACCATCTCATGAGCGAGAAAAACATTGTCACTAATTAACCTCCCCTTAATAAAAGCATATTGGTTCTGACTAATGACTACAGGAAGCACTTCCTTCAATCTATTTGCAAGGACCTTAGCAATACACTTATACAGTATATTGCAACATGAAATTGGTCTGAATTGCTTCATACAGTCAGCATTTTGAACCTTAGGAATAAGAGCCAAGTAGGTGGAGTTTACCTCTGAAAGGAGTTTCCCTGTCCTGAAGAAGTCCAAAATTGCATCTGTGAGATCCTTGCCCAAAACCTCCCAGTTGTGTTGAAAAAATCCAGCTGTGAAGCCATCTGGACCTGGAGATTTATCTCCATTCATAGAAAAGAGAGTTGTTTTACTTCTTCTCGAGATACTTGAGAGCAGAGAGGATCAGCCTGCTCAGGAGTGAGAGAGTGGACTAATAGTTGTGAGATCAAGTCACTGCTCACTCTCTGAACGTCCGGATTCTTGGTTCCCAGCAGATTTTGGTAGAATCTACCTTCTTCTGAGATAATTTTTTGATGGTGGAGCGAGCCTGGCGAGCTTTGACATAATTGTGGAAGAATGAAGTGTTCAAATCCCCTGTTTTAACCCAAAGAAGGCAAGACTTCTGCCTATAGATAGCCTCTTCCTCTTTAAGAAGCTCAAATAGTCTAAGTTGACATTCATTTACTCTTTGAAAGGACTCACGGGAAGGCTGCTGGAGTGCCTCTATCTGCATCCCCTCCACTTCACAACGAGCAACACGAACTCTCTCTGAAATCTCTGAATAGGATGATCTATTCAATTTTTTCAGATGCCTCTTAACCTCCCTCAACTTCTGACAAACTATGAACATAGGAGTCCCCCTGAATCTTCATTTCCAGGCATCTTTGACTATTTGGTTATACTGAGGATGTGTTTCCCAACAGCTAAAATATTTAAAAGGTTTTGGTAGAGAGGTGATATGGATATCTGTATTCACTAGTAAACCACAGTGATCCGATAGTCTTGGGGGAAGAAGGGTTACTACATAACTTGGGAATATAACTAACCAACTAGAATTCATAAGGACCCTATCAATCCTCCTAGCAATAGGATTCCCCTCCTGGTTATTTGTCAAGGAGAACCAAGGACCCTCAAAAGCACTTTCTTCTAACTCCATGCTAACAATCCAATTGTCAAAGTCTACCATACTTTGTGAGCTGGCTGGTTGATTGGAGGCCTCAGTAACACTTCTTACTACATTAAAATCGCCTAACACTATCCAAGGTAAGGTGTCAGGTTTAAGCACAGGATGATGAAATAGGATACACCTTGTTCCCTCATCATTTGATCCATACACAAAGGTGATCTTGACAATATTTTCTCCCCTGACCACACCATGTATGAATTGCTCTGATTTCTCTAACACAACAAAGTCCAACTCCCTTTTACAGAAAATACACAACCTTCCTAATGTTGAATGCTCATAGTTATGAGCATACTCCCATCTGCCAAACTTCAAATCCACAATCTCTTTAAATTTTCCTTCCTTCACCCTGGTTTCAAGAACTCCAAAAACATCTACATTTTCTCTACTTACTACTTCCAAGATCTGACTCTGCTTGTCGGGGTGATTAAATCCCCTAATATTCCAAGCTAGAACCTTTATTTATTTTGTTTCGGTTTGGCAGGCCTGCCTGGCCCCTTCTTACCTTGTTTATCTTTCCCCTTACCACCTCCCTCCAGAACAGGAAATTCAGCCAGGTTGTGGAGGACCGGGCTACTTATAACAATATTCCCAACCTCAAAAGAGTCAACAGCCAAACTTTGGTATCTATTGGCCACAGGTGTGATAAAACTTTCCCCAGCAGAAGAAGAACTTTGCCCTATCATAGCTGACTGAAGCTCACCTTCTGTAGGCAACTCCACAGCTGACTTTTGTCATTCAGTTAGGACCCCCTGCTCAATAGACTTAACCAAATTGGCCACAGCCAGATTCAAGTTTCGACAAGCTGCTTCAGCAGATTCCTGAGCCTTGCCCCTCGAAGCCAGACTTGAATCCAGAGTCACTTAACTAGCATTTCCAGTAACAGTCCCCACATCCTCAGTCACAGCTTGCACTTGACTACCCAGATCCTCCTCTCTCACATCCCCAACATTGTCATACTGATGCCCAAATACCCTGCACTTCTTACAACCAATTGGCCTATTGCAGTACTCCAAACTCACCTCAAATGTCGACTTGTGATCTGGGACCAGTTTCAGAGTCTCAGGAAACAATGAGTCAATAGACATTTCAACACAGAATTTTGGAAATCCCATTCTCCTACCTAGCCTAGTCGATTGATCAAACCACAGAGGTCTACCTATCATACTAGCTAAACGAGTCAAGATTCTGCCCGTAGCAAATTCCACAGGGAGATTTTGAAAACAAATCCAGATAGGAATGGTGGAATCACAGTTGACAGCTCTGATTCTAGGAGACCACTTCCGAAGAAAGCACATGTCATTATTGAAATGCCATGGACCACTGGTGAAGACCCAATTACTACTGTCGCTTTTGGGAATTGGAATAGGAAGAGTTGCTCACTGAACTTAGAAACCCTAACAATGCCCGAATTTCCCCACAACCTATTCGCCCAGCTCTGAAGTTGCTTCATATAAGGTGTAGAATAGAGGAATTGACCTACGAGGCTGTTCTTCCATCGAGCTTCACCTTCCTTCACTAGTTCTTCCGGAATCCTCAGAACTCCATCAACGAGCTCTGGTTTGATATAAACCAGGCTATTAGCTTCGGCAATCCCGAATAAATCTGCTCAAGACTGACCAATGGAGGACATCGCAAGCAGAGGGAGCTCAGTCGAGAGGGGGGGAAGACCACCGGAGAGGGATCCGCGCTCCGATCAGAAGCTCGCGGGACGGGAGACCCGCCGGCGAACCAGAATCGCTAACGGCCTAGAAAGAGAAGCAAGAGAGAGAAGCTTTTTCCCAACAACTTAGATCGATTTTATTTTCTTTGAGGCTGATCTAGGGGAGGAAAAAACATGATGACAAGATTTTTACCCAGCTCGTCAATTGCTTTCGATGAAGACGACGTCGTCTTAGAGACTCTTCACATGAAGTTTCTTAACACTATTACTTAGCAATAATTATTTGGTAGGAAGAACCGATAAAAGAGTGGACATGTCATACTCTATATACTTCAATTTAACATATAATTTATATGGGTTTAATATAGGATTTAACGTAGCATAAATAGCAACAGGTGGATCATTTCTTTACTGTGTAATTCCGTCTGCGATGATTGCCTTTCAGCTCTTCTCTCTCGTTTCTCTTCTTCAGTTGCTAAAGCCTAGAAGCTAGTTATGTTGATGGACACTTTTCAAAAGATTAGAGTAATTCATGTACATAGGTTGCAAAATTATGTAGCGGATTTTATAGCCAATAAAAATCATTATTCGTGATATTATCGAAATTTCTCAAACTCGACTAAATCATAATACATGTTAGTTAGATTATCGCGATCTCTCAAACTTGACTAATCCATAATACATGCTAGGATGCCAGATAATGAAAGCGGCAGTAATTGGCTTGAAACTTACTAATGAATTAACAAGTATTCTATAACGCAATAATTTACACCAGACAATTCATCCACCTGATAGATACTAATTGATAAAATTAATAAGATTTTGTGTAAAACGAATATGATGAATGGACATGTTTATTTTCTCTTTACCGCAACAAAGAGTAAAGTGTGCATGCGTTTTGTGAGGTTGCTAGAAAGAAGCTGAAAGGCAGTACTACTGGGCCTTTACGAGATTTGTAGCATTGCACACACCTGTGCGAATCCCAGTCTCCGAAAGGGCCAGGCTCATTAGTAGGCTACCGATCCATTATTAGAATTGTGGGCTTGTTAAAGCCGGGGCCAAACAAAACAAGGTTGGTGGGTAGGAATGGTAATGGGTATGTTTGGGTAGGTATTTCGATGTTCATGCTATTCTAATAGCACGTCAAATTCAAGTTGAGTAAATTATCACGGGACACAGATCGAGACAGGCCGACCCTTATAACTAGGTAGGAAAGGAAGGTGTTGCATAAGCGATGCTCCCCCTAGGTTTCCTAACCACGCGCCCTCGATAATTGAAACATGCGAGCTGTCGATTTCTTATTTCATTAGATCCCATTTTGCGTCAAAGCATTTACCCAAACTAATGGACGACAAGATCCCTTCAAATTCATTCTTTTAGGCAACACACCGCTTGATTAAATGAGGTTCGATCGAGTAGGATTGCTATTTCTTGACCTATCATAAACGACTACGGTTTTGATCCTTTCACCTCAAAGCAGTACAAACTCGACTAAGCATTCACTCGAACAAAATAAAGGAAATCAAGCATCACATATTTGGAAACCAAACAATCGTACTAACCAAATCATCGAGTTTACATGGCTAGAACCCTTAGGGTTCATTGTACCTATGCAACTAAGAAACTTATCCAGCTAAGGGGAGGGTATCCATGACATTCATCGAGAAAAACAAAGACTCCAAGAGACCATAGGAATCGGTGACCAGAATAGACAAAAGGGATCTAGTAGAGCCGATTTCGCCGCCCATTCTCCCTCAAAGTTTGCATAGTTCCAAGTTAGGAGGGTTGCTATGTCAGCAGAGTAAAGACCTTTCCTCTTTCCTTGACCTCTCGTCTCTCCTTCCTCTAACTCTAGCTCTAGAACCCTATTTATAGCTTTCCATTAGGCTTTACAAGGAGAGGAAAACGCCCTACTGCGTCATTCAGCTAATCAGAACCTCCAAACACGTGGCCAGCGAATCAGCTTGCTTCTAGAAAACTTATTGACGGTGTGGTTGGTTCTAGAAAAACGGCTCCATGGTTTCCCTTTATGGTAGTAAAAACCGCGATTGGGCTCCTTTCCTTATTAACGTCTGGTCTTCGTAATCTTGCTCCAGCAACTTGGACTCAATGTCCTCTACGTCTTCCAAGTGGCCCACTAGGTTGCTCGACCCTTAACATGCACAAAATGCTACTCAAAAGCGTATCAATTGTATTACAACAATCCTAGGGTTACTAGAACACACTTGAAGGAATCACAACAATAACCCAATGCATTATGACGATAAAGATGTGAAATGTATGCACTTTTGCTCACACTACGGGGGTCTAGCGCAAATACTTTTACGTACCATCAAATAGCCCCACACTTGAACTTTGCTTCTCCCCAATCAAATCTAAGCTCGACACCCTTCTCCCTAATAGATCTTCACGTAGAAACCTTTGATCCTAGCAATGATGCTCAACGTAAAAATGTATGTTTTTGGATGAGTGGCTAATGGTATTATAAAGTCCTACAAGGTCATATTTTATATGAAGCATGTGAATATTGAATAGCCTTGAGGGCATAAATTGGGAACGTTATGCAATGTGAGATGTGATATAGTTTTGCTTGATGGTTTGATTGTTCATGTGATGATGTTAGTATTCGGAATGGGTTTGGAATGATGTGTTTGTGATTTACATAATTGTACTTATGATATGATGCGTTGGTGCGATTGAACTGATGCTATGATGACGTGAGAATCATAGTGCTAATGATATGGGAATGTGTGATGAAATGTGATGGATGATAAGTGATTGACGATGGCTTGTGACATAGTGAAAGCATATAAGATTGTGACTGGTGAGTGATGCATATAAATAGGAATTAACCATGATGTTGTGTTAAGGAGCGATTCTTGAATCTAAAATAGTTCTAGGAGTACACGGAATGAATGAGGGGATGACTTATCGTGTATACCTTGATAGTCAAGTTAGGTCAATAAAAGGTCGAGAGGTGGGTGTTGGGTAACTGAGTACTCCATATTTTATCATATTCATTGGGAGGGTTACTAAATCCTCTCGAGTTGCATTCCTTGCTAATTCTAGACCTTGAAATAATGTCATTTCTAATATAAAAAGGGGCTATCCAGTGAAAATAAAAGGTTAAGGAAACTGTAATAGTAACATACATGGTAGGGTATTACATTTTTTGTTAGATGGTTCTCCAAAAATGCCGCAAAGGGATCCCCATTAAGGAGTCTAGCGAGATCTATATCAAGCATGTATGAATATGTTCACTCTTGAAACAAAAGTTCTTTCCTATTTCTTTTTCATTCTCGCGGGATAAGAAAAAGAAAGTCTTCCTCTCTTTTTGGATTTATGCTATGGTATCGGAATACATGCCTCCCATTAGGAGAAGTTGGATTAGAAAGTTATTACATACCAGCGTTACTGCTGTAGTGGGAAGCGAGATCAAAAGTAAGTGGACGAGAACCAGTAGATAATTCCACAACATCCCCATTAGGAATGGAAATATCCGAATCTTTATGCTCAAAATTCCGATTCAAGTAGCCATTTAGTTGGTACTTCCCAAGGAGCAGGAACGTAGTTGCTTGACTGGATACCGAGGAATCTAGTTAGGTTCTTTAAACCGAGGTACCAGGTTAAGCTCTTTATACTGAAGCTACGGGTTAGGATCTCCATCCCATGGTATAGAGTACCAATTATTTCGAAGGAGTGGCTATGAAGGATGTGATAATCAGTGGGATGTAATGACCATTTGATGTGTTTGAGTGCTAGTTGAACTTTAGTGGGGAAGTCCTATAAGGTGATGCTAGTTCCTCTCCAGTATGGGTGAACAAACACACCCGTAAATCGACCCACCCGTCCAACCTAATTCAACCGACCCGTATTTATCGCCAAAAAGAAGGTTTTGGATTGGGTGTGAGTTTTCTTTTGTACAACCCGTCTCTTTTGGGTTGGGTTTGGATTTTGGATTGCACAACCTGTAGAACTCGACCCAACCTGTGTTCCAACTATTGGTAGGAGTTCGTATCCAAAAAAATATTTATGTCGTATATAGCCATACTTATGAGAAAATTAAGATATTTCGCCATGTTTTTCTCTAGTTCATGGTCTGCCTAATCTAATGTATTCTTCGGCTTAAAGTTTAGACATAAATTTAATATAGCTACGATTCACATAATCCTTTTTCTTGTGTACAATTTTAATAGAATAACTTATAATGGGTGCATTCGTTTATAACCTTTTTAGCCTATTTCAACAAATGTCGTGAAAAAAAAAACTTGACATATGTTGAAGTAAACCACATTTTATTAAAATTCAAACAAAATTTGTGAATTTTGATATCTTTCACCTCTGTTTATTCGTTTGAAATTTTAATTAGTTATAAAATATTTTTATGGTGTATAATAATTACATATTTTGTGTTGGGTTGGGTTTTTACTGAAAAATATCGCCAACCCGACCTAACCCAATTAGAAAAAACCATAGGGTTTATATTTTTTTGGGGGGTTTTTG